CGCCCACCATGATGAAGTAAGAACAAGCCCACTTACCACATGATCATGATCACCAGCTTCATTACAATCTCATTTAAAATGTTGAAGAATTCCACCATCAGCTTGGCCTGCTCTCCCATCTTCCCCATGGCGATGCCGAAAGCAATGAAAAACCCTATCAGACCTGTTGGGTGAATCACATTGCACAGAAGGACACATTATAAAGTCTGTGTTTCTTCCCGCTTGCTCTTTACCTTTCCCGATGCATGGAGCCACATGCTCGCACCTGCCACCCACTCTGTGAATGAGGCCTGAAAAGACAAAAGCGTTAGATGTCGTGCGGAAAATACCTTCCCCCCAATAATGACGGCATTCCTCAACACTCTACCTAAGCAAGCTGAACTATCAGCAGTGTTAGCTGCTTGAAGAAAATGAATTTATTTTCATTCCAAACTAAAAAGTGCTCTCTTTTCTCTCCTCCTCATTATGAAATCATGTGTAAGCAGATTTTATTAGCACATAGATTAATGAAAACCAGGCTTGCTGGGACTTGGAGATTAGCATGCAAACGTTGGAGCAATATGAGAATAGCAGAGACCAATTAGCCAATAAAGCCTCTGCCAGGGTTATGTCTATATTGGTTTGCTGTTACCCCAAATTAATGCGTGGCTGGTATGGTTTATTCTAGGGAAACCCTGAATGTAAAATTATTTTTCTGTGGCTAGACGCCTAATGTAAGAAGGAGGGTGAATGTCAAGAAATCAACTGGAAAGCAAAGAGAAATCCAAAACTGATGGGAAATCCCAGCTGACCTAGTATGTTTGGGTTTAACCTGTTATTAATTAACTCATTGTAATTCCTTTCTTGGTCAAAATGGTTAGAATGCTGTTTTGAAATTGTATTTTTTTCAGGATCTTAAAGACAGAATGTAGACTTTGTTCCTTCCGAGCCCCTCAGCCCTTCTCCCTTCGCTTGATATCATTTGACTTCCATCTACGCCCAGCCCCCTCAGGCTCCAGGGCCAGTCCTAGCCCCCGGCCAGGGCCAGAGGATTCCAGGAGCTCTGGGCCTGCCGCAGGGTGTCGGCAGCAAATTGCAGTAGGGCCTGGACCGCCTGCTGCGCTCAGGCTTGGGTGATATTTCCGTGCTGGTTTTGCCTCATTCCCTGTGCCTGCGTTTTCAGTCCTAGGAACCTACCCTATACTTTAGTTCCTCCAAGGCCTGGCTTTTCTCTCCTTACCAACCCCGTGCCCGGCCTGGAGTCTCACTCAGATCACCCTGGGACCAAGTGCACCACATGGCTAACAAACGTCCCCGTGACTGCCTGAAGACTGTATTTCTGATTGCCAGTCACCACGTGCCCACCCCAACTCCTGGCCCAGTATTGCTGCTCTTGGGGTTCCAATTCTGATGACTTGCATGGGCTATAAATCAATGTCACTGTCCCCTTGGCTACAGGACCTTGCGGACCATCTGACTTTTCTCCGATCTACAGTGTGGGCCAGCTTCTCTCCTCTCTCTCTTCCTCCTCTGCCCCACCCCTACCCTGTCCCAGTTTGGCAGACCTAATTTCCAGACCCTCCCTCTGATAGCCAGTTTCCTGAGGTGTCCAGTTATGCCTAAAGTCTTCAGCTATATCAGGGAAATTGTAGCATTATAATCTGATTCTTAGAGGGGAATTCTTTCTCTCTGAGTCCCTGATTTTACCTTTTCCCTCATCACCAAAACTTCTCACCACCTCACACCAAGCACATATCAACCCAGATTACTCAGTTGCCCTTCACTGGACCCTGTCCGTCTTCAGCAGAAAGAATCCAGTACTTGCACTTGGGATTGTTAATCCTTGACATTTAATATTTCCCCTTCTCAGTCCTTGGCCAGAAAGATTGACAAGTGACTTACAAGGAAATCATTGGCCATGAAGACAAAGGCTCAGTGAGAATTAGATCCAGGAGAGAGAGGCCTCACTCAGCAGTAATGTATGAAATCAAATCCAGGCTATTCTCCAGCCCTTCTCTGGAACCCACAGAGACGAGTTTGTGAGGTGCACAGTGAGACATAATCCGAACATTCTGACCGAGAGGAGCTAGTATTACTCAGTTAATCCCATTTGGAAAATTTAAGAGAAAATGAGCCAGGTCTCAAGGTCCCAAAAACCTGGAATTAAAAAGTTCCCCTTGCAGGAGGAGCAGAAACTGGACATATCCACAAGTGTGAGAGAGAACTGTTTAAAGGAGCAATCTCTCACAGGTGATTTAAACGGCTGGGATTAGAGGGGAGCCCAGAAGTGCTCTGGACATTTTCTGGGAAAGAAATGAGTCTTTTAAAGAAGTGCGAGGCCAGAGCCAGGGTTTTATCTTTATTTATTGCAATGCTTGATCCTTGGGACTTTCCAAAGCCCAAAAGCAAAACACAAAGAAAGTCACCATCTCTACCTTTGGAAAACTATGGAAAGAACCGTTATTTCAGCCGTGATTTTTTAAGTGGGAAGTTTCTCAACGGTCTAACTTCCCTTGGCTTTGTAGAACCTCACACTGCACTTGGAAACCCACGTCCAGCTCATTATTTCCCTCTGGAGACACTGACTCATTGAATTCACTCTGGAACAGGGGTGTTTCGTCTGAACAAAGCCCTCTTAGACTTGGCCACTGGGATTGAGAGAGTAGTGTGCTGTGTTGAAACTCCCCAGTACAGTCAAAGGTTGCGTGACTTCCCAGAATCCACCGAGACTCTAGAAACGACCTTGAAAGTCTTCTGAATGATTCACTCCAAAGCTCTGGCCCCATTCCTCAGAGTGTGTGGAAGACTACGGAGCCACGCTGACCACAGAGTCTGGGAGAGTCATGGCAGTTGGAAGGTCCTGGAAGGGTCACAGGTATCTGGGCAGGGGGAGACATGAGCTACTGAGGGATGGACGCTGGGGATATGTGCAAACCCTCCTTCTCAGAAGATTCTCCTACTCTCTCCTCTCTCTTTCCTCCTTCATCAGACACTAATGTCAGCAGTGTTTGTTTACCTTCCATTGCCTGGCAACTGAGTCCGCTTATCAGCACCCTCAATCCCACTTACCCAACAGTTACCCAACCAACTTCCTGACAGGCCAAAAAAAAAAAAAGGAAACAAAAGAAAAAGATCCCCGACTGATGCTTCTGCTTTTCAGTAGCTGGATAATCCTGCCTCTCCCCTCCCCCCACCTCTCCCAACCATTCTGGATAAATAAGAGTAAGGTTATCAATTTTAAAACAAACAAATAAGATACCTAGTTAAAATCTGAATTTCAGATAAACAATGAATAAAAAAAAAAATTTAATTGATTTTAGAAAGAGAAGAAGGGAGAGGGAGAGAGAAAGAAACATTGATGTGAAAGAAACATAGATCCACTGCCTCCTGTATGCCCCGTAATGGGGATCGAGCCCACAACCTGAACATGTGCCCTGACCCAGAATCAAACCAGCAACCTTCTGGTATATGGGACAATGCCCAACCAAATGAGCCACACCAGCCAGAGCAAAAAAAAATTTTAATATCAGTATGTCCCATGCAATATTTGGGTCATATACTAAAGAATTATTTGTTGTTTGTCTGAAATTCAGATTTAACTGGGCATTCTGTATTTCCTCTGTCAAGCTGACTAAAGAGACAATGGTATTCAACCTCCTAGATGGCCAAATAGAGGGCCCACTGAGCTCATCCATTTCTAAACAGCGCTCATTCAAATCCTTATAAAATTTTGCTCGCATGGATCATCAACATACTTCCTCCAGCCAGATTCCCCGTTTTCCCCAGTTTATAGTCAAATGTCCCTCTTTCTTGTTTTGGGACACCATTCTAATAGTGGATGGGGGTTAGTGTGAGAAGTGGACCCAGGGGTTGGGTGTGGAGTAAACTGAGCAAACTGGAGTCACTCACACTATGGGGGACTCTATCCTCTGTGGAAAGGAGTGTTTTTATTGAGTTCCTCAGCTCACTTTTAGTAATGATTGTAGCTCACATCAATAAAGCACATGGCATGTACAATTGTGTTCTACATACACAATCTCACTTAATATTCATAATGATCTACAAGGGAAATGCCCATCCCATCTCCACTTCACCAATGAAGCTCAAGAAGTGGGGTAACTGCCCATGGTCAGATAACCAGTGAGTAGTCTTTAAGGGACCCAAACGTAGTCAGTCCAATTACAGAGCCAAAGAATCTCCAGGATGGCATGCTAAGAAGGCTCCAGACTAGGGGAAAGGGCTCATTAGAATTCCAGAAAGTTAAACAAGATAATCTCCTTTTGATATGCTTTTTTTGACATCAACAGCCAACACTCTGTACTCCTGATAGCATTGCATTTGTCTATAGACTGTGAGAGTTGGGGAGGGACATCCTCCATGCCTAGCACAGTACTGGTCTCCAAGGACAACTCTAACAAAAATGCTTAAGAAATGAAAGAATTGGATGTGTAACTGCATGAAATGGAGAGTCAGAGAAAGTGACTTGCCAACGCCACACAGAAAGTCAAAGAACGTGCCCAGTGAACGGTCATCCTGTCTCTTTTCCCACACCTGACCTCTAGTTGTCATGTCCCCTCATGGCAGTGCTTCTGCCCACCTCCCTCTTCCTAATCCCTCAGCTCTCGGTCCCAGTGACCCTTGAACCCCTCCCAGAGAGAGCCTCCTGCTCCAGCTGGAGGACATCAGAGCCACTGTTTTCCTGAGAAGGGAGTGAGGGATGCCCAGCTGCTGAGATGCAGGAGAGTTGAGCCACTGTCTCAGAGACAGAGACGACTCCCCCGGGGAAATGAACACCGGGTTGCCTACCTAAGACATTCATGCCGTCCTTGAACTCCAGGCCCTTCTTGATAACCACCTTCATTTCTTCAGGTGCCTCTGTTGCCGTCTCGGTCAACAGGGAGACAACAGAGGTGGTTACATTGCTCTCCTCTTCTGACTGAGGTGCCTCCAGGACTTTCTTCGTCACTGTTTGAATCTAATGGAGTGAAAGAAAAAAAACCCATAAAGATGAGGTCACCAAAAGCCTGGCCACTTATGTATTTTAAAGTGTCCAGTTATGTTAAAAATAATTTTAAAATGCCAAAACAAGGTTATGAAAATTGGGGAACATTTTATGTTTGGGCTTAACAAAGTGAGGTTTTATTACTCATATAGGGTGGGACACGACTGTCCTCATCACATGATAATTACTGGATTTGTAACATACTACAGACAGAATGGCTCAGTAATGGGACAAGAGCTTCAAGTTGGGGGGTGGACGTCTACTTCTTTTATTCCCATGGCTGTAGCTCTGTCCCTCAGGACAACATCAAACATGGGGGCCCTGTTGGATGACCTTCCCAGCCCCTCACGATGGAACCTGCTCAAGAAGAGAAGGACAAGTGTCCTGGTTGGGGTTAGATCAGCACCTCATGACCTGCCTGGTTAGTTCCTTCCTGTCTGGTTCCTGCAGGACAAAGTCTTCACAGACCAACCCATGTGGGTCCTTCCAGGGCCAGGCTCTGCTGAGATCTCCATCTGGGTGCCAGATGTGCCAGCTGCCAGCAGCCTCCTGGGGCCTTGGCTTGTATTTCAGATCCCAATGTAAGATGGGAAGACACCTGCTCCTACTGGATAGTGAATGCCAAGCATTACTCAATGTTCCCCAAGCATCTCTGTGCAAACGGCCTCCCAAGAACCTCTCATGTTATTCCTCGGCATCTGTGGCAGCCGTCCTATTTTTAAAGGTGCCAGGCACCCTGTACACAGAGCACAGTGAAAACTCACATCTGAGCCCAGAGAAACACTACCGCCAGGGGCATGATATTAGAACTTGTGTGGGACCCTAGAATGTCAGCACCGGCATGTAGCAGGCAATAGATGGCTGAATCCTGAATAGATACGGAAAAGGAAGCACGGAGAACTCAAGTGACTTGTCAGACATCACAGAGTTATTGGCAGAGCTGGGACTTCAACTCAGATGGCCTGACTGCGCTGAGTTCTTTCCACCACATGTGCCGCGTGATAAACTGTGTGGGCCCAGTCCCACTGCGGCTGGGCCCAAGAGCAGGCCATGCTTATCTGAGCACTTGTCTGAAGTGGGGGAGAACACAGCACAGCGCCCTGCTCTCGGGGTGAGGCAGGGTGTTCTGTCCTAGCCTGGCCACATGTTCTTGCTAAGGGAGGGAGAAAGCCCAGGCTAAGTGTGTGAGCTGCGGAACAGGCAGGCATGGGGCTCTTGGTCTGGGCAATGTTGGCGTGAAGAGAGAATTCAGGAGTGATCAGAAGGGAGGCTTCTGTGAGCAACAGAACCATGCTCCCAGGAACAAAGCGGAGAACAGAAGCCCACTGTAGACCCATGCTGAGAATACAAAAGAAACCCAGGCTTGAGTTCAAAGCAAGAGACTCCATCTTCTAAGCAGGCTGGCTCAGGGCCAGCACATTATACAGAGAGTGCCAGTAAGCACCCCTTCCTTACCCTGCTCCCATCTGCTCCCCATCCGCTTCCCCGGCCTGGAGTGGCTCCTGTTAATATAGCTCCTTGCTCCAAGTGGCACCAAGTGGCATTGGGAATCGGAGACCATATCCCACCCTAGAGTCATCTGGGCTCAGCAGTGGCTGGCAGTTGCATTTTGGGGGCAGCTGGGAATACGGACTTTTCCTCTAAGGGACCTGTTTCCTAAGACCATTCTTCTGTGATTCCCTGGGAATGGCTGAAGGAAGCTTCTTAGTTCTAGTTTAGTCCCCACTGGAGCGTATCGGAACTGAGGTTCCAACCTGAACTGGCCTTAGGGCCAGACAACAGGCTGGTGAGCGGGGCCCAGGCAGCCATCTCAGTGGTTCCCTCCCCGGAATCATGTTTTGAAGAATCACACGTTTTTAAAAATAGATGCCTGTATGCAGTTGCTAGGAGTATACATCCCTGTAAACTATTGTAGGGCTATGTTGCAACACCCTGCAAACTCAAAATGCAAAACTCTTTGACAGGACATTTTAGCTTCTAGGAATTTATCCTTTAGAAGTGCTATGTGATCATGACAAAAGGAAGCAGGAGAGAGACAGTGAGAGAGAGACAGAGAGAATGGGGGGGAGAATGCTAAAACACTTAAATGAAAAGGTGAGATGCAGCACGCTACGTATAATGCAGAAGCGCTTGGGTGGAATTAAATTTTAAAGACTATATACACATGCATTTTACACACATACACACACGCCAAATTCTGAACATGAGCAGCTCTAGGGAAAGGAACTGAAGACTTGAATTTTTTTTACTTTATGTACATCTATACAATTTAAATTTTTCACAATCCTCACTTGTTACTTCCACAATTTAAGAAATACCCCATTCCCAGTCCCACCCTGGAAGCTTTGATTCTGTTGAGCATGTGTATTTTTTAAACACACCGGTGGCACATGGTTTGGCTATACTGCCAAGATTGAGAACCACTGGGAACTCTAGAGGGCTGTGAGCAAAGGTGATAAGAATGTGCCCTTGGATGATGCAGAGGCAGGAACTAAAAAGAAAAACAAAAGAGGGGAAAAAGGAGAACGGTATTGTGAGCAAAAAAAAGGGAGGGGGGTAAAAAAAATCCACAAGACTCCAGGCCCCAAGGCCTGCCCCAGATCACCTCATACACTCCTAGACAGAGCTAATGAAATATTAAGAAACTCACTCCCTAGAGCTGGTGCATTGAAACAAACTCAAAGGAGCACCTGGGTAACGGGGAGCAGGGCGCGGGAGCCTCAGAACTTCGGGTTACCTGTTGAAAACAGGCTTGGACAAGGTTTTCCGGGAAGAGGTTTCGAATGAGGTCCAGAAAGGCATCCAGGCTAGACACTTCGTCATTCTTCTTCCCAGGCCCCAGCTGCTTCTTAAGTTTGGGGTTCCCTGGGTGGATTGCCAAGACCAAGATGACCCCCAGGACGGCGGCGATGATGGTGGTGGACATGTAATACACCATGGCTCTCGTGCCCAGGCGCCCGCTGGCTTTAGCATCCAGGCCCGACAAGCCTGGATTGAAAAGAAACCCGCGAGGGTTAACTCTGTGATGTTGCTGTTAACTACCCATCTCTGCATGCCTAGAACTTGGCTTCCTATTATTCAAATGCATGAATGCTTAATTAAACCTCTTTCTACTGAATAGCTGGTCAATCCCACAGTTTGCGATTTTATTTTCCAAAGATATTTTTGAGACTCTAGAGAACTGCGGAGAGTTGGTGATCTCTGACTACTTTTTGTCAGTCTACAATATGGAGTTAAAATAAAGTTGAACAAATTCAAGTATTAATTCTGAGATTATGTTCTTCCCACTTATTTGGTATCAAAATATCCTTTCTTTTATGAAGGGATGGTGCTGGAGCATGCTAGATTTTTACTTGTTTTCTTGGTGGTGGTTGCTTTTAATATCCTCACTTGGGAAAATAAGAAGCTGGTGGCCCTACATCAAGCCTCAAAATTTTTGACACCGAGTCCCAGCATTTCTGGGCTCTCTGGTCAACCATCTATGAGACTGTAGAACAGCCAGGTTTAGCATCAAAATCTCTTCAACTACCAGAGCCTCACCTCCTTCACAAGGTGAACTGTCGGGAGGGACGACTTTCCCAAGGCCACCTAACCTATTGGCACCTAACTACAGACCAAAGTCCAGAGTCTCACCTTAATTCAGAGCTTAGTCTCTAAACTACAACAATTTATACGCTGTTCTAGTAATATCATTTGGTAAGGAGAAGAGCACCAGTATAAGGCCCTGGAGGGGAAAAATTCTTTCATATAAAACATGTTTTTTCAGCCAAAAACAAGTGACCATGATAGAAGAAAAACTTTCTTCCAAAAAAGCCAAAGAGCTTTCATATCTAGTATTTCATCTATTTTATATATATATATTATTGATTTCAGAGAGAGGAAAGGAAAGAGAGATAGAAACATTAATGATGAGAGACAGTCATTGATCGGCTGCCTCCTGCATGTTCCCAGATTGGGGATCAAGTCCACAACCCGGGCATGTGCCCTGACCGGGAATTGAACTTCGATCTCCTGGATCCTAGGTCAATGCTCAACTGCTGAGCCATGCCAGCTGGCTTATTTATTTTAATACTTACTTCCCTCCACACCCAATTAAATAGTAAAGAAAATTTTCCTTTTCTATTTATTACCTTTATCAATTTCTGAACCAACCAGAATTTAGAAAATGAGAAAAATATACATTAAAAATTAAAATCACTGCAGATACTATCATTTTTATTATTATTATTATTTTTTTTTTTGATACTATCATTTTTAACATAATGTTGTTTCCTTTTCATCTTTTGTTGCTGGACAGACAGATGGGCTGACCAATAAGTGGAAACGTTTTTTAAGGGTTGACTGTCCCCATTTTAGAGGTGGGAAAACAAAGGCTCTAAAATGAAATGACACAGATGATCATATTCATTCCTTCAACTAAATTGAGATTCAACGCTCAATCCAAAAGCAAGAGCAAGGGTCTGACCCACTTTGGCCGCGCACCAGAGAGGTGGACTTACCTGTGATTAAACTAGAGATGATTAGAGGAAGGATGAGCATCTTCAGCATCCTCATGAGTATGTCCCCTGGGAAGGCTATTAACATGACCACATCGGGGTTGATAGGAGAGGCCAAGCGGAGAAGCCCTCCACAGACTGCCCCCAGGATGACACCTACAAGGAAGGGAAAAATAATCTGGATCTATTATTATTATTATTTTTTACTCTAGTCACATGAACAGCTTTAAGGACTTGTTTCAGTGACATCGACCTTTTCCATACTCCTCTATTATCAGGTGATAAACAATGTGTAATGAAAACACCACCAGATAAGTGAAGCTGATGTTGATGGTGACTAAGAGAATATTTTGTATCTCCAACTAGTCTAATGGCTGCTCTGGGAGAGGCAAGGAGAGCCTTCTCAAGGCTTTGTGGGAAATACATCATGGCAACTGCACCCCACTTTTTTTGAGGCTATCTTCTACATGTAGAGTCAGAGATTGTCAGCAGAAATTATCCAAGTGCCAAATATTGCTTCTCCTTTCAGCCTAGGCCTGGCCACGTGGCATGGTATTTAATGTATTTCTTCTCTTTTTAACTGGGTACCCCATAAAAGGAACATTTGACTGACTAAACTGATGTCAGTTTCCTTTTTTCTTCTGTTTCCTTTAACTTCCAGTAATTTCCCCATGGCTTATCCTCGAGAGGTTTTGTCCTTGCCTTCTGTAGCCTCTTACATAATCTCTAGACTTGCTGATCGTATGGAAGGTCAGGGAGGATTTCTAAAAATATGTCCTTTGGGAGGAAATGATTTGGGCAGAGATGCTGGCAGGAGCCTTTCAGTTTGCGTATTCAGAGATTCCACAAGAAAAGCTTCAGATCTCCCCAAACAGGTGGCCAACATAAACAACCCTTGTGGAAACCACAGATCAGGTGAGAGCACCACTGGCTGCAAGGGAGGGAGGGAGTGCCAGGTCTATGGGTGAAAGTGTTAGCCCCAGGGATGCAGAGGGAGGAATGTGGCCAAAAGCCTGATCTTTGCTTCTTTTACAGGCAAAAAATACACTTCTCCAAGACCTACGATGAACGGCTTGTGCTTCTGTGGAGGGTAACCCTTGGAAAACCCTACAAGGCCTGTGGTTTCTTCTTCCTAAGTGAACTGAGCTATGGCAAACTCCCACCCAAGGTGACGGACTCAAAGCAGAAGCCATGGGCTGAAGGGGGCCGGTGTGTGCTGGGGGTGGGAGACGGGCTGTTCACTGCTCCGTGTGCGCCCAAGAGAGAGCTCAGGAAAGAGGGAGGGATCAAGAAAGGAAGTGGTGTGGCTGTCATTACAAGAAACTGCAATTCACTGCATTTTCAATAAATCCTGGTTGAAAACCTAGGACCAAAATTATATTAACAGTCATATAAAAAAAAACTACGGTGTAGGTGAGGCCTGAAGCAGAGGAGTGAGACTTTCGAGACAGACCAGGAGCAGGCCAAGGCATCGGAACAAGCCTCCCCCACACTGGCCTCCTTAGCTAATGTGCGGAATGAATCTAAGTTAGTGAGATGTTCAGGGAAGGTTAGAGCTTGGAAGCCGTCTTAGTGGGGTTTCCTGCCTTTGTCTTGATGTAGGTATTTCTCTCAGTGTGGCACACTGGCTACTTGCTTTGGAATCATCTAGAAGCTTTGTTAAGATTCAGAGTCCAGGACTTCACTTCAGGTGGCCCAAAGCCAAGCCTCCACGAGCAGGTGGCCCTGGGGACCTGTGTACCACCACACTCAGGGGCGGTGTCTGTGCACAGTGAAATCTGAGGACCACTAGACTCCCAAAGAGGCAAACTCATGGCCAGGGCAGGTGTGGGGAAGGTGATACCATCGAGGCAGCCGTGCCTGGGCAAACGGGGCCTTAGCAGAGCAGCCAAACCAGCTTCTCCATGGAGCCAGGAGGCACCAGAGAAGAGGGGCAGGCGGGGAGGCCCCTGTCACCTACCAAACACCGTCAGAGTGAGCAGGAGGTTCTTCCCCAGCTTGTCGCACATTCGCAGCCCCAGGTTCCGGCGCTTCGGAAGCTCTTCTGAGCTGAGGTGGCTGTCGTGCATTCGCACCTCGACCTGCTTGGGCATGTTGTTGGCACTAAAACAGAAGTGAAGGCCATGGTTAGAGACCGCCAGGCACCTCCCCTGTCCTGCTGGAGGGGCACAGGCAGGGGGGGGAATAACAGGCCGCCCCCAAGCACAGCCAGGAATCTGGAAACACTGGCAAGAAAATAAAAACAAAACAAAAGAAGCAACTCAGAGTACCCTGAATTCCAGTTCACCTTTAAGCAGGACACTAGGTCCCACCCAATACTTATGAGCCAGGAGCTTTTGTCCCTATGATCTTAGATCATCATAGTAAAGAAAGGCCGCAGGCAGAGGTGAGGGTTTTCTTTTTCTTTTTTAAAATATTTTTTCTTGATTTTTAGAGAAAGGAAGAGAGAGGGAGGGAAAGAGAAAGAAACATTGATGTGAGAACATAACATTGATCAGCTGCTTCCTGCAGGCCCCCTACCAGGGATGGAGCCTGCAACCAGGCATGGGCCCTGATGGGGAATTGAACCAGCAACCTTTTGGTACCTGGGATGATTCCCAATCAACTGAGCCACACCAGCCAGTGTAAGGTGGGGTTTTTCTAAGAGTTGCCCACCCTGTAACTCTGAGAGACAAGTATCCCTGTCTCATTTCACAAAAAGTCACTTGCCCAGGTCACAGGCTAAAAGAAATGGAGACCAAACCCAGATATATCTGGCTCCAAACCTGAGCTCTTTCCTTCTGCAACAACTGCAACATGGTGACCACTGAATAATTAATTAAGGTTCGTAGAGCCACAGCCTAAGTTGTGCTAAATTAAAATGCCTCCAAGCTCAGCCTTCCCCAGCCTGGACACAGAAAAGTCATAAATGTTGATAGTCCAAGTTTGGTCTCTCTTTCAGAAAAGATGGTTTATCCAGTTTTTAAACAATTTAATCTTTTGCGGTTTTTAAAAGATCACTCACATTACCAGGGCTCTGCTAAGCTGCCCAAGAATCCACACCACTCAACGTCAAAGAAGTATGGTTTTAGGAAGCATGCAAGCACCTTCTTCCATGGGTACAGCCCAGCCCTTTTCCAGATAAGCCCCCTATGATGCCAAGCCATGCTGAGCGTCTGCAATGGAGCTTTTGCTGTGATAATAAGCGGACTGCCTTTTTTCCCAGCTTGGTCATAAGCTTTCAACTTTGAGCTTGAGGATTGACATAAAGAGGCCAAATTTTCACTTTGACAACTTAGGACACTTTCCTTAGCTGCCATTTGCAATTACCATTGTTTGATAAAAGAAAAAAATAGTCTTTCACATCTAGAAAGACAGGCCACAGCCTCTGAATAAATGACAAAGCCTTGTAAGAGGGGCGCTAGCTTTACCCAGATATTCCCACCACAGGCTGGAGAAAATGGCCTTCAGAACCAGCACCAATCTGCAGACCAGTGGTTTGCAATCACTGGTTATAATGGAAATAGCGAGGTTTTTACACTCCGAGCGCCTGGGTTTCAGATCCTGGCCCTATCATCTGAAGCTGTGTGGTGTGTAGAAAAGGGCTTGATGCCAACCTTGCAGAAACTAAACATGATCATGTCCAGTAGAGGCCGGGCCGGCCCCTGACACAGGTAGTTCCTTTCTCCACAGAGGATGAAGAAAGGGCACACAATACTCATCAAGTTCATGACAGGGATCTACCCAGGCGCACCACCATTCCAGTAAGACACCACACTTAGCTTCCAGCCTCGGAATTAAGGACAGGGGCCCAAATACAACTACGCACTTACTTTTCCATAACAGGCTGCTTAATATACTTGCTACCAAAATGCTTTGAAATTGGGGAAAATGTTGTGTGGTCTGATAGAATACTAAGATGAAATTATCAGTCAACATACAAAGCTTTTCATGTCCCCTCAGTGGCCTAATTTTCTACTCATTTAGTTAGTTTTCAGGCATCCTCTGACTGTCTAATATCTGTGTGTGCTGATGATCGCTCAGACTGTCTAAAAAGGAAAACAGGACATGACTGCTCATGTCATGTCAGGACATGAGGTCCCTTCTGATCATCGAGCAAAAATACCGCTTCTTCTCATCACCAAGTGACACAGACAGAAAAGTTCTTGTTCCAACACAGCAGGGGGAATGATCAGAATGATCTTTTCAACATGGATAGACCACAGTTTTACGTTTGCATGGGGATCTTTTAGTATTTTTAAACACTTCTCTAGCCAGTAATCTGAAACTCTACACCAGAAAACTGGCAACAAAGAACAGAGGTCATGTGTGTTCTGAAACGGTCAATGTCTCCCATCAGCCAGCCCTTGGCAAAACCCTGTGACCCCCTTGAGGCTGTCATCCCACCTTCTGTTTCAATTGAATCCCTCCTGCCGTTGAAGCTAGAATCAGGCACATGGTTGGTATTTAAGTAAAACTAACAAGTATTTAAAGCAAACATTCTCACGAGATCCATATGATGTAATGAGAGTGTCAAGCATCAGAACATCCACGTCGAAGGGAAAACACACAAATGTCAGGTTAACATACACACCCCATCCAGCAATGTGGCTGGATGCCTGTTGCACACGGTTCTTAGCTGCACAAAGCTGCTGCATGTTTAATAGTGTGCTTTTTAGGCCATGACAAAATGTCCCTGAAGCCCTGAATCAAAACAGCCACATCAAAGTAGCAACATCAAAATGCTATAAACCCACAAGTATTTATTGAGAGAATTCCTGTAACTTGCCCTCTTGGCATTAAACAAATGCTCCAGGCGGATAGGAGCTCCTCACATCTGCACGTAGAAAATAGTTGTTAAAGTACATCAAGGCCTCAGCTTGCATCTGGGGACACAGGGAGTCCCCTGAGAACTCTCTGTAAATATTCTATGCCAATCTAAGTGATCCCTGCATCCCAGAGCCCCCAAAGAGCCTGAACTGGGGGATAGGATAGGATATAGTGTTATCTAACATTATATAAGACAATACAGAGATGCTGCTAAGCCTTATATATATTCAGAAGAACAGACACAGTTTTTAAATGAGATTACACACATACAGAGCTATGTAAACACTGGTTACTGAATATACCTAGCAACAAGGCAATAAGAAGGAAAACTGGTATTTATTGCATACTCTGAGTCAGACACTGTACTCCGTAATGCATAAGGCGGAATCCTTGCTCTTAAGGAGCTCGTACGGGGAGACAGAAAGGACACTGCACCTGACTTGCCTGCTTCACACATGGGCCATGATAAAGCTCTTCCCGGGAGCACATGGAAAATGGTTAAGAGCAGTGCCTGACCTGGCTTTAGAGAAGAGTGTTCTAGAACGGCTTCCAGGAGGGGTGGATGCCCAAGTTGGATCTAAAAGGATGGACTGGATTGAAATGTCTGCACCCTCCACCAGTCTGTGAACCCTGGGCGAGCAGATCTTTAACACCTGCACCAAGTGCTTGCTAGACATTTGCTCAAAGAAATGAAGGCCTGGAAAGCAGCTGTGAAGGGCACCGGGCTCTCTCCTGGAGCGAGGCCCTCCGGTGGTAGGTGGGAGCACCCCCCTGCAGCAAGCCTCTGACCTTCTCACTTCTGTTCCACAAATTTCTGTTGGGCACATATTATAGGCCCCATGCTGTTCTAGGAGCCAAAGATATCACAAATCAATAGAACAGACAAAGACTTGCTCTCGTGGGGTGCACGTTTTAGTGGAAGAACAAATACATGGATAAACGTATTTCAGGGGTGCTAGGAGGAAGGCCCTATGGGAGGAAGCAGCAGCTTTTCCATCAGGAGGCCAGAGAAGGCATCTGGGTTAAGGAGGCATCTGAACAGAAACTTGGAGGGAATGAGAAATATCCTAAATTAACTGTGCAAAGTGTCCAGAGCTTAGCAAAGAAATGGAATATACACAGTTTGGAAATCTGTATATCCAAGCTAGAGCCTGAAGCTCCCACCAGATGTACCTCCTGGTGTCCACGTGCTTTTAGCACAGGCACTGGCTCAAATGAGTGACACATTAGTACTGCTGGGCCATATGACCACCATGCCTATGACAGACTTTCAACGACTCTCCCAGCTCCCAGTGGAAGAAAAACAGTCCCAGGGAGAGGAGAGCTGGACACAGAGAGAGGTCTGAAGTCACAATAGCCTGCAGTTTGCTTTCCTGGCAATGAGCAGAAAGGACAAGAGCTGGTCTGGGTAAGTCCACTGGATAAACACAGTAATTTCTTCAAGTGAGCACACTTTCGCCTTATGAATGCTCCCTTCCTCCCACCTGTGGCTGTGCAGACAGATGCAAACACTAAGGAACTGGGAAGGCCAGGTATGGCTTAGCTATACCAAATCCACCAAGCATGGTGCTTTCCAACGTTGGGGACCACCTCTGTTTCTACCGGAGTGCCTTCTGGAGGGAAGATTTCACACTGCAATTCCTCAACGGCGGCGGGAGTTTCTGGAGCCCACACAGTCAGATCTCTCTCCATTGGCCAGCAAAGTAAGGCCATGTGAGGAGACAGCTGTTTGGATAATTAGGAACTTGAACAATGAACCTACCATTTCCTCCAGCCACAACTTCTCCATTAAATTATTTAAACAGCTGTTAATTTTCCAGCCGCTGCCCCATTCTTTCTCATGCAAATCCACTCGTCCTGCTTCAAGGACAAGCGGGAAACATTTTTTTGTGTGACTCAAAAAGGAACATACAATGGGGCTGGTGCTAAGTTTTAAACTGTTCTCAGAACCTGCTTCTTATTAGCATTCGATTTCCCCTGCTCCGTCAAGAGCCTCTAATAATAGGTTCATTACATGTGGTGTGGGATTCAGATTTCCTGCCTGCACACTTCAGCGTCCCCTTATCTGGCACCGAATTTCTTCTTCTTCCTTCATTGGTTCAGTGAAGTGATAACAGAACATTCCCCGAGGAACCTAAAAGCAACTGTTTCGCGTGGAGAATGTGAGGTCTGCAACGAGCAGCACCCACAGGCCTTCTGCTGCCCAAGACCAAGAACCAGGGGAGGCAGCAGAAGCCAGTGGCCAGACTTTGCCCTAACGGAGATACTAGGTCAGACCCTTGAGAACAAAAATC